CTGTACAGAATGTAAACCTGCACTTTGATATTTTGTTTGGGTGAAACCTATTTTTGATAATATTTGATACCAATATTTATATAACAGTATAGAAAGATAAAAAAGAAAACTAGAAAAGCACAAAATTAATTTACCTTGAACATACATCTATTATACAGTTTTTGTATACCCCCCCTCAGTTTTTGTATACCCCCCAGAATAAGGCAGCTTCTCCCTGGAAGCGATTCACACTGTGCGCTCATTGCCACTGAGAACATAGAGGTGTTCACAGCAACAAAAAAGCATCCAAAAGGGAATTTTTCTGTGGTTTTCCTCCATTTCAGACCCAGTGTGATGTATCAGTGGGATCTGGTACATTCAGGTTCAAATCTCCACTCTGCCATGGAAGCTCGCTGGGTGACCCTGGGCCAGTCACACACTCTAAACCTTACCTACCTCACAGGACACTTGTGAAGATTAAATGGAGGAGATGAGAACAATTTAAGCGATTTTGGGTCCCTATTATGGTGACAGATGGGGAATAAAGGAAAAAATAAATTTCCCCCATGTCTTCCATTCCACATACATACTCGCAGCTCTATTGGAAGAAATTATGCCCATTTCTCTTTTTTTAACAAAATTAGTAGTAGCTATATTATTGTAGAGTAATTATGCTATAGTGATATAGCACCTATTAATTTTTTTAGAGCTAATAAAAACTCAAACAATGGCATAGGAGGGGGAAATGACAAGTGAAAGTGGAAATGGCACCTATGTGGGCATTTCACCACCTCCCTTCTTGACTGGGGTTCAGCTGTCAAAGCAACAATGCCTCAGAAGCCTCCTTCGGAGACTGATGGGTTCCCCAAATCAAACTGGAAACCAAAGGTTGTTTGCATTTCCACATTTATTCCACATTCTGCATCCAACCCTCACTCAGAACAACAAAGCCATCTCTCATTAGCAGTCAGTAAATGTGGACACCAGGACCTCCTCCAAGGGTACTACACAGCTGATTCTTATGTTTGCTTTCCAGACACAATGCAGCAAAGTGCTTTTTTTAAAATGTGTCCCCACCTTAAACAATTGCTCAACTCTTGCACAATCATGAATCTATGCTGTACCATGGAGCTTTGCTGTAATGACACACATCTGTATCCCTAAACAAAACGCCCTCTTCAGAGCAGAAAAAAGTGCATTGAAGATTCTGTGAAATTTAATGTTTAAAAAAAATAACAAACCCTCTTTGCTCAGATATAACCACCTTATCTATTCCACCTCAGACAACATTTCCCCACTCATGCAGATAATATCATTTCTCTAAGACCGGTTCTAAAGAGACGTGGAGCCGACAGTGTTCAATTTCTTCGGTCCCAGTCCACCCCCCTAATAGATACCATCAAAGCCGCTCCAGTGAGTTAGGAAATGTGTTCCAATGCTGGAGCCTCCATAATGTAAACAAGCCGGCTTTTGGACCCGCTAGGCGAGTAAATTATCCAGCAGGGTTGTAAAATGTAATGCCGACTGTTTCCATTTGAATTCTGACTGCGGGGTAGTTGGAAAGGGGAGGGGGGAGGGACCTCTGGAGCATGAAGAATCCATTTGCAAGGGGAAGCATATTTAAAGAAACCACCCTGGTGGGATGTGCGGTTACTCTGTCACTCGGGCACCATGGCATTGCCACCCATCCCGAAGGCCACAGGACTGCTGCGGCTGTGACATCTCTGCCTGGCGAGGAGTACAAAAGCTGCCTCTTGTCAAACATATGCAACAGCTGGGAAGTGCTGAAGTGTCATCTGTAAAGAGTAATGACCTTTCCAAGCAATGGCCATCTGGGTTGAAATAACTGTACAGTTGCGACTCCAACACTCCAGGGAAGCCAGATGCTTTCCCCTTAAGAAGTGGTTCTGTTGCATGGCCAGGGCAGTTTTGTACCTCTCAAATCACAGTTTGTTTGTTGGTAGGAACTTAGCATCCTTCCTCCAAGCTAGCGCATCAGTCACAAGAGCATGGCACCTATTGTACAGTGCCTGTGACATCACTGGCAATGAAGAGTACAGTCGCTCCGTCCATAGACATGCTGCTTTGAGAACCATTTCAAAGGTGTTGTAGGACTTCAAAAATAAATCCACAGAGGATGAGTGATGACATGTTGTAGCAATAGTGTGGGGCCATTTGAGGGAGCCTAAGAGCAGAGACCTTGCTTTAGGTGCCCCTGACATCAGAATGGGTATTCTCTGTGCTCTGTCCGCTGAAGGCCCTTCTCCTCATCTGTCTGTCAGGCACCTACTCAGCTGGCCACATAAAAAATGTGGGATGGGGCAGAGAAGCCACAGCATCTGATATTAAGGGATTTTCTGGTGTTCGTACACTTTTCCTGGGCTTTCTATCCACGCCGTCTAATGTTTTTTTAAACCTGTTTTGCATTGTCTTGGCTATCTTATGTGGTTATAACAGGGACATGGTTATAACAGGGTCCCCAATGTGGCACCCACATCTGCCGTCACCTTTTCTGGTGTCTGCCAAGTGTTTTTAGGAAGTGGGCAGGGCCCGGTAGGGTTTTTGTTCAGCAAGGCTTCTGATTCACTATTGGAGATTTGATTGGCTGTGCAGATTTTTTTAAGATGTTGCTTTGGAATCAGCTGCCACCATAGCACAAGGACCTGTACTGTGTTACTGAAGTTAAGCTAAGAAAATCATTTTCTGGCTGGCTCCGCCTCCTGCAGCAGCCATTTTGTTACAGCCATTTTGTTTCTGGGCCCACCGTGCCTTGTCAGAATTCCAAATGTGCCCACAGGCTCAAAAAAGTTGGGGACCTCTGAGTTATAACATGATGAGTTGTAACCTGCCTCAAAAACCAGGGGACCAACATTTCAAGGTAGGGACTTGTCAGACTCCTGGAGAAATGAGTTCCCAACCACAGTCATTCAGAAGAATAGAGAGTTTATTGAGACACTGATAGGATCCAGACTCTTAACGTTTCTGTGTTAGAACTGGGGGAAAGCATGCAAAGCAAGCAATTATACCTAAATCAAGGAGGACCCTAATGGCCCGGGGCCAATCACACCTATACTAGAGGCCCACCGAAATAATGGCCTATAGTTCCCAGGTGAAAGATGATGCCAAGCTTGACTGGGGCTCAAGGTTATCTGTCTGGGCTAAATAAGATAACTAAAAGCAACAGTGAAGCAGCCAAAAGCGAAAGCAGACATTCTTCTCACTCCCCTACATCCCCATGGCAACCAAGCCTGAGAAAGCGGGCAAAGTTGACAGGACTGGAACATCTGTCCTCTGGCTAGAGCTCTAGAATGGAGATGGGCTGTGGCTCAGTGGTAAAGCCTCTACTTTGCATTTAGAAGGTCACAGGTTCAATCACCAGTTAACACACCCAAGGAGTAGGTGACAGGAAAGACTTCTACCTGAGACCCTGGAGAGCTGCTGCCAGCTAAAGTGGATGATATTGGATTGATAGACCAAAAGGGGGGTGGGGGGGAGGGTTAAAATTATTATGAAAAGTATGGTTAAAAGATAATATGTAAAATTTGTGAAAAACAATTAAAAAAATAAATATTTATAAAAAAGGATTGATAGACCAAGGGTCTGACTCAGCAGGAGGCACCTTGATGTTTTCATGGGTTCAGAGCTCCAGACCTGGTTTTACACAGATGCAGAACTTGGGCATGAGGCTGCACATGAACTTCAAAAAAGAAACAGTGAGCATCAGCAAGGGCATCCCCTTGCCCACAGCAAGCTTCTTTAAAGGTTGTGTGTTCCTCCTTACCAATGTTGGAAAGCAATGAAACTGGAAAGAAGCGAGCCAACAGAGCAAGACTACCACCCCTGCACCCAGTCTCCAATACTATGGGATGGGAGACATTTGGCTGGATGGTCCTGGATCAGAGCAAGACTGAAAGTACACAACTGCTATCAGGACACGTGTAAGTACTAGATGTATCCAAGGTCTTGTACTGGCATTGACATGTGCATACTTTTCAGTGCTGTACATGTTAAGGATAAGACAATCTGGTCTCACACACACTGCTTACTCATGTAAAGAAACAGAGGTGGTGAAAATCAATGTGTGCCACAGCAGCAGTGCAGGTAGCCTTTGAACCCCACTCTGGTACAGCGTTTAGGGACTCTTTACATAGCTGTTGGAAACATGGATGACTTAAAGAAGAACAGAAATGAAAACCTGGAGTGATTTCCCCCCCCCCCCCAACTGCCAAACAGAGCTGGACAAATTTCATATCAACCTGGAGCCCAGGAGAACATAGGTCCTAACCCTTTCTTACATTTCCCCAGAACTGTTGCAGAAGCAATGCTCCTTTGGGGACCACATTCCTCCAGCTATGCAAGACCAGCAAAGAAAAAGAAGGAAAAAATAAAGAAAGAGAAAGAACAGAGGGAAAGAAAAAGAAAGAAAAGTGAGAGATCAAAAGGGAAAGAAAGAAAGAAAGAAAGAAAGAAAGAAAGAAAGAAAGAAAGAAAGAAAGAAAGAAAGAAAGAAAGAAGAAAAGAAAAGTGAGAGAGGAAGGAAGGAAGGAAGGAAGGAAGGAAGGAAGGAAGGAAGGAAGGAAGGAAGGAAGGAAGGAAGGACAGGAGACAGAGAGAGAGAGGAAAAGGGAGAGAAGCTGAAGGCAAAAGAAAGAAGTGTATCAAAGTGGAACTGGAGGAGGAATGGCTGGAATATTTAATGAAATCCCCTTGCATCAGCAGCTGGCAAAGAGCCTTGCAACTGAGTTCCATGATCACATATGGGTGTGTTTGTCAGCAGAAAACCAGCTCATCACACTCATCAATTTGTTTTCCGGGGGGGGGGGGGGGGGCGCGACTTCTACACGCTCGCCAGATGTTGCTACATCCACGACATGGCACTCATTTCTTGGCCCATAAACTTGGAAGAGGAGGCACGGGCTCAAAGTGTTGAAGTCAACTTTAGATTTCCAGAAAAGCAGAGATTTCCCAAAGAAGGAAGAGCCCTTCCCTTTGTCTCCCCCTTCCCCTCCCACTCCCCCTACCTGAGATGTTGGTGGTGATCTCCGTCAGCGCTGTCTGGCCAAAGCCCTTGCCAGTCCGTGCCCGCACTGAAAACAGGTAGGTGGTTCCCGGATGCAGGTTGGAGAAAACATGATAGGTTTCATTTCGGAGCTTGGAGACAGTGCGCCGAGGACCAGGCACGTTGACTGCAGGGTCAGAGGATTCAATGCTCTGGTAGCTGATCTAGGATAATGGGAAACACTTTAAGATTATGTCAGTATGAACACTGAAACTTCAGATCCTAATTTTCTGTCCCCCAGCATTTCCCCTCTGTTCTAATCAAACTGATTACAATATGCATTGTAGGTTTGCATCCTTTACAAGCATTCTTTACAGCATCTCTCCCGCCTTCTGACTAAGGCCCTTTCTGCACTCTCCTTTTAATCCATGTTCACCACAGTTTCCTCCAAGCAACTGTGCACTAAAATCAAATTCAACCTTCTTTTTAATCGAGGTTTTCCCCCCATTCTGCACTGAAATCGAGGTCAATCTTCTTTTTATTCCATTTCCCCCCCTAATTCTGCATTCCATTACCTCCCTTCAGTAGTCAGCCGGGTTTCAGCCTGCTGTTGCCCCAGGTTATTTGGATGCTGTTTTGTTATGGATTTAAATTGCCTCAACTTGAACACTGGGAAAATCTGGAGTGGCAGGCAAATGTGGAAAGGAGCTAGGATAAAAGGACTCGGAGATCTCCATTTCTACCCTACTCGTGTCTGATTAAGGGAGTTTTGACTCTCGAAAGCTTATACCCTAAAACTCTTGTAATGCACACTGGAGCACATTGGAGTCAAAAATCCCGACTATAAATATATGTTGATGGGGTCCAAACTGGCGGTAACTGACCAGAAGAGAGATCTTGGGGTCATGGTAGATCTCACTGAAAATATCGACTCAGTGTGTGACTTCAATTTTTAAAAACGCAAATGCCATGCTGGGGATAATTAGGAAAGGGATTGAAAACAAATCAGCCAGTATCATAATGCCCCTGTATACATCTATGATGCCACCTCATTTGGAATACTGTGTACTGCTCCTCAAAAAAGATATTATAGCATTGGGAAAGGTACAAAAAAGGGCAATTAAAATGATTAAGGGGATGGAACACTTTCCCTATAGAGAAAGGTTAAAGAGGTTACAGCTCTTTAGCTTGGAGAAATGATGACTGAGGGGTGACATGATAGAGGTTTACAGAATTATACAGGGGATAGAGAAGATCAAGAAAAAAGTACTTTTCTCCCTTTTTCACAATACAAGAACTCGTGGGCACTCAATGAAATTGTTTAGAAGTAGGTTTAGAACAGATAAAAGGAAGTACTTCTCCACCCAAAAAGTAATTAACACATGGAATTCACTGCCACAGGAAGTGGTGGCGGCTACAAGCAAAAACAGCTTCAAGAGGGGATTGGATAAACATATGGAGCAGAGGTCCATCAGTGGCTATTAGCCAGAAGGTATAGATGGAACACTATGTCTGGGGCAATGATGCTCTGTACTCTTGGTGCCTGGGGGCAGCAACAGTGGGAGGGTTTCTGGAGTTCTGGCCCCACTGGTGGACCTCTTGATGGCACCTGGATTTTGACCACTGTGTGACACAAAGTGTTGGACTGGATGTACCATTGGCCTGATCCAGCATGGCTTCTCTTATGTTCTTATTATATCTCCTCCAGCTGTTTTTAAACAGGGGGGATCGAAATAATGATGATGATGAAGAAGAAGAAGAAGAAGAAGAAGAAGAAGAGGAGGAGGAGGAGGAGGAGGAGGAGGAAGAGGAAGACAATGATGATGATGAAGGGATTAACTAACAATATGAAAATCCCAATATGGAATCTGAAGTGCTACATTCCAATTATTCCGCTTTATCATGGATAGCTCCCTATTTCCTCGGTCCCTGGTACATCAGTGTCTTGATTCTATCTCTTGGGGTATTCTTGTTCAGTTTTTCTTTGTGTGACTTGATTAAAGTTGTCAGTGTGGTGTGTAGTAGGCTAGAGTCTCAGGCTAGGATCTGGGAGACCCAGGTTCCAGTCTCCACTCTGCCATGGATGCTCCTTGGGTGACCTTGACCCAGTCACACACTCTCAGCCCAAGTCACCTCAGGGAGCTGTCCTGAGGATAAAAGCCAGTTTGGGTCCTTACTGAACAGAAAGGCAGAGGAATTAATTAATTCTTCACGGTTCTGCTCCCTCCCTGAGATCTCTGGAAATCATTGCTGAGCAGGGAGTGCTTGCACCTTCTCTCTAATCCACATAGGCAATAAATGTGCATTTAATACATGTGTATACATGAAAGATTTCACACAGTATACAGTATCACAGTCTGGTGGTCACTGAAGTCTTCTTTGGGCAGTTGATAATGTAGCACAGGGCAAACTATTTATTTTGATATTTCAGCCAAAAGAACAAACATCCCCTTGGCTGTGAATCAGTGAATGGCAGAATAAACAAATACAGCAGGTGGAAAAGAGCCTTCAGCGATGCACGTGAATGTAGCAGGCTAAGGATGAAAGCCTGGGTGTGCCACTGGCAGTGCTGATCTAAGTAGAGACAATCCTAAGTAGAGACAAATCAATGGTCTTAGAAGGGTGTAACTCTGTTTAGGATTGCACTGCTTACGTTGTTCGAAGGATTTGCCTTATTTCATCTTTGAAATACTAGCAGGTATGGCCTGGACACAGGTTTACCTCAGCAAGAAGCAGGACAGAGGCTCTTAGAAAGAGGATGAAAAGCAACTTGAATCCTGCAGTCTAAACAATGGGCTCGGAGGGGGAACGATCAAGTCCTCCTTAATCTCCAAGATTGCAAAGCCACGTCTCTAGAATGACAATGGAGGCTGTGTCGTTCTCCAAAAGCCCCCCTTTGGCTGCCAGCAGGGCGTGAAGAGCAGTGCAGATAGAAATCAGCTTTTCTCTTTTGCAGCTTTCTGTGCTCTAATAATTTTTGTTGATGCCAGAGAGGGCAGAGGCACCAACTGAAAAGCCGAATGAGATAAGAAGGGGTCTTGCCTGGCTGCCTTTGGGAGACAACATGGCAGAAACCAAGCACAGAGATGGGCCTCTTCAAGGAGCTCTGCCCAGCGACAGCAGACTCTTTTCTCTATGCCTTGAACTGAGGAGAATGCAGTCAGCCAAGAAAATCTGTCCCCTCAGCACCTTGACGAGAAGACAGTGGCCCTTTCTGCACTTCGACCTCACCCCTCATTTTCTCTGTGTTTCACTCGTGGCCATTTACCTTGCTGTTATCTCTCTTTAGCTGTTGTTTTCTGCACTAATTTTGTCCTGCTCCAATTTGCTTGCCTGACCTGGGTTATAAATTCTGCATTGTGAACAGTAAACCTGGGTTTAATGTCCTAGGTATGGTGGGAAAGGGGCAGGGAGGATCGAAACTGAGTTAAAATTTCTACACTTAAATCTGCACCAAGGCCACTCCAGATTGAGGAAAAACCCATGGCAAAACAAGATCCATATACCCCGGGGCAGTGTCAGTCCAAACCTGGGGTAACCACAATGTAATACAGAATTGACAAAAAAAAAAAAAAAACAGAATAAAAAGAGGGGTGTACTCAAGTGTAATGCAGAAAAGCTAGTCGGAAACAGTGTTGAACCAGGATTAAAGGTCTAGTGTGGAAAGGGCCAAAAAATACCTGTATAGAAATATTGATTCCTATAGGCTTCATGTTTCCCCCTTGGAATGTATCTTGCTGAACCCCTGTGGTGTGCATTTCCTCTAGAAGCCAAATGGGCTCAATAGCCTGCCATAAAACATTCCTTAACACGCTGGAAGAAGAGCAGATGCCTAGCTGACATGCAAACAGGCACGTAGTAGGCCCAAGGTGGGTTGGGCTCTGGGGTCATTTGCTGCAGAGGGTGGTCCCCAGACCTAACCTATCCCCACCCATTGCCATGACAACCCCAAAAAGTTAGACAACCGCTTCCTACTGGGATTGGCTGATGGCCACAGCTAATTCTAATTAGATTGGGGTTTTTAACTGTCTGCCCCTTGCAGAGGAGCTCAGATTTTCTTGCTTTCTTGTTCTGTTCTGTTGCTGTCATCTGGAATGCTGTCTCTGCCATGTGGCCTGGGACAGAACAAAGGACTCCTTGTGAGCTGAAGCACATGGCTATGTGCTTGCAAGGATGGAGCTATTGTTTCTCAAGATACTTGGACTATAGATTCCTGATGTTGGTAATTATGCATATCTCTAATGTCTAGTCAGGGTCAAGAGCCATAGGTTTTCTTGTTTTGAATTCTTATTATTCTGATGCAAGCCTGTACTAAATAAACTTTATTCTTGCTTACAAATATTGTCCGTTGGATGGGTAACTGACTCCAAGCCTTTTTCCTGTTGCCTGAAACTGCTCACCACATTATGCTACCTTGCTAAGAGTATTCTTGTATAAAGTCCCAGAGGCCAGTTAAGAGTCTGAACCTTGCTCTTGCACTGGAAGTGGACTATAGTTGGAAAGGTTCTGGTGGCCTGTGTCTGTAAATCCAGAGAGCCTATCTCTCCTGGGTTTTTGTGTAATTTCATTGTTCCAGTAAAGAATTCTTTCTCCTCCCATTCCTGGACTGGACTGGGGAGGAGAGAGAACCTTTACAATACCATCTGTTGCTTTGATACTTCCTGACATGATAGGGGTCTGCTAGATCTACCAACCATGCTGCTGCCTTGCAGCCCACCTCGATGATATAGTACAAAAAGTTTCTATTGCTTGGCATTCATGGGATGTTAGGCTTTTCAAATATGTTTCTGGCTGATTCTCCATCCCATATGATACTGTGTTAGCTGAGGACAAGTCAATCCCCATGTTAAGGAACAACACATTTTATAGGGAAGGTCTGTGGCTCTGTAGTCAAGTATCTACTCATCATGCAGAAGGTCTTAGATTCAATTCCTGGCATCTCCACTTAAACACATCAGTCATAAATTGGTGCATGCCAGCTCTGAAGAAAGATCATGTGGGAGACATACCTCGTACTGTGTGATGAGTCCATTGGGCTCCACTGGCTCCTCCCACTTCAGAAAAATCATGTCTTCCAGGGGAGTGAATGTTAGAGACTCTGAAGCAATGCCTCCAGGGACTTGAACATGAAGGAAGGAAAAAATTGGAAAAGAATAAGAAGATAGGCTAGTTACTCAGCTTCTTTCATGATAGACTAACCAACAGGAACATCCTGTTCATTTTAAAAAAATATTTATAGTCTGCTTATCCAGATTATCCAGGACGGACTATATTTATAGTTGTTGGATCCCCAAGCATCGAGAATAAATCCACGTTTTAAGAAAAGCAAAATTTATTTCGAAGCGTTGACGACATACTCAAACACGTTCTTTGTTAGAACTGGGGATACACAGTTAGATCAAGCATAATAAAGGAACTTCAAAGAGATACAGGTCCAATGAATAACTTTCCCGCTGGCGGGCTAATGGAACGGTTGCGCGCCCAGTCCATGGGAACCAGGCAGGATATTAGACATAACACAGGTGCAGTAGTCATGGGAAAAGCAATAGCCAAGCATTACAGCATCTTCTCCCCCACACAACCTCCAGCAGTTATCTTTTGCATTCCAACGCAGGAGTAGGATGATAGAAACCAAGCCGGGTGCAACAGGGAAAGAATATGTACACAGAGGTCACAGAAAACAGAATGGCAGCTTGCTGACATACTGCCCCCCTTAAAATACACTTACAACACACCTCCCGGGCCGGGCGGGAGATCTCCCGGGCTGGGCGGGAGACCTCCCGGTTTGTCCGGGAACCTTCTGTGGAAACTACGGATCAGGTAAGGGGCCCGAATATCCCCTTCTTCCACCCATTCGCGGTGCTGGGGACCGAAATCAACCCATTCGATAAGGTACCAGAGTTTACCACGTTTCACTTTACAATCCAGGATATCAGCGATCTCAAAATGTTCATCCCCTTCCAAAATGACAGGTGGAGGAGGAGTAGTTACAGGTCTCCATGGAGACGGGCCAGGATCCTTCTTTAACAGGCTCATGTGAAATACAGAATGCAAGGCACGTAAATTCTTAGGCAAAACAACATCAACTGCCACATCATTTATGACTTTGCGCACTTTGAAAGGGCCTATGAACTTCCATCCCAATTTCCTGCTAGGCCGCAGCATCTTAATGTTCTTGGTTGAGACATACACAAGATCCCCAGGTTTCAGATCAAACCCCACCACCCTACCCTTGTCTGCCTGGGTCTTGTAAGCAGCCTTGGCTGCGTCAAGTGTTTGGCATAACAGAGGCCATGCTTTTTGCAAGGACATACACCAGGTATCAGCATCCCCCACAGGACGTTGGCCCATCCCCTCCAAGAAAGGGAGGGGGGGGCTGTCGTAACCAGAGACAGCTTTATACGGAGACATGCCTGTGGAGCTATGGACAGTATTATTATAACAATATTCAGCAAGAGGCAATAAGTCACACCAATCATTCTGTTGATAATTAGTAAAACAACGCAAATATTGTTCCAGGGTCTGATTAACTCGTTCCGTCTGTCCGTCAGTCTCGGGATGATACGCGCTGCTGAGTCCTTGTTCCACCCCTAAAATGGAAAGAAGTTCCCTCCAAAATTTAGAAACAAATTGGGTCCCCCTGTCAGAAATTAACTTAGTAGGTAATTGATGAATTTTCACCACGTGAGACATAAACGATTTCGCCAACCTTTGAGCTGTAGGCAAGGAAGGAAAAGGTACAAAATGAGCTTGTTTAGAAAACAAATCAACAACCACCCAAATGATAGTGTTCCCTTTGCTCGCAGGGAGGTCAGTAATAAAATCCATGGATACCACTTCCCATGGTCTCGATGGAGTAGGGAGTGGCTGTAGAAGACCAGGAGGCTTGCCCAATCTGGGTTTAGTCAAGGCACATGTTTGGCAGGACCGAACAAACATCAAGAGGTCTTTGCGCATATGTGGCCACCAGAACTGTCTGCGGATGAGTTGTAGAGATTTAACAAAACTCCAATGCCCTGCCAGTTTCGAACCATGAGCAGACTCCATCACCTCCCTCCTCATTGAAATAGGCACATACAGTTTGTCTCCAGAATAAATCAGACCATCAGGGCTACGGACACAATCAGGCAACGTTGTCAGGGAGGCATCATCCTCAACAGTCAAAGCAGACAGATATTTTTGGACCCAGGCCCCCCCCCCCACAGGGAAAAGGGAAGGCGTAGTCTCATCAGAGTGTGGAATTGCCCGCGCTTGCGCCCTGGTGACCACGGCCCCCCCCAGATGGGAGGGGGAAAAGACAGAGTCCATGATGATCTCACGCTGACTGTCATGTTGTGGGAGGCGTGAAAGCGCGTCAGCCAGGGAATTCGCCGCCCCAGGGAAATGACGAAGAGTGAATCGAAACTTAGCAAAGAAGTCCGCCCAACGAAGTTGCTTAGCGTTGAGAGAACGGGGGGATTTCAGCATCTCCAAATTCTTATGGTCAGTCCAGACTTCAAATGGCAGTTGCGCCCCCTCCAACCACTGCCTCCACGTGGAGAGAGCCAGCCGGATTGCTGACGCCTCCTTTTCCCAAATCCCCCAGTTTCGTTCAGCGTCAGAAAACTTTTTAGACACAAATGCGAGGGGATGTAAACGACCATCCTCCCCCTCCTGCAAAATCGCGGCCCCCATTGCCACATCCGAGGCATCAGTTTGGACAATGAATTTCTTAGTTTCATCAGGGCGCGCCAGCACTGGCTCAGAGGTGAACATCAGTTTAAGTTTCTCAAAAGCCTCTGCGCAAGCAGGGGACCATTTAAGCGGGGCGCCTGGTTTCGTAGCATCAAACCCCTTTCCCTTGGTTTTGAGCAAATCAGTCAGGGGAAGGGCAATTTGAGCGAAATTCTGGATGAAATTTCTGTAAAAATTGGCAAATCCGAGGAACATTTGCAATTGTTTGCGGGTCCTGGGGGGCTCCCAGTCAAGTACAGCTTGAATTTTAGCAGGGTCCATTTCAACCGTCCCCCCAGAGATGCGATAGCCCAAAAAGTCAATGCATGTCTTGTGGAATTCACATTTTGACAGCTTTGCAAACAAGTGGTGTTCATAAAGTCGTTTAAGGACCTTGCGCACCAATTTAATATGCGACGGGAGGTCCTGAGAGTACAGCAACACATCATCAAGGTAAAGGACCACTCCCTTGAATAGAAACTCATGTAGGACCTCATTGATAAGGTTCATGAAGACCCCCGGAGCCCCTTGAAGGCCGAAGGGCATAACGAGGTACTCAAACTGCCCCAAAGGGGTATTAAATGCAGTCTTGCTTTCATCCCCCTCCCGGATGCGCACACGGAAATATGCATCCCGGAGGTCAAGTTTCGAGAAGATTTTGCCCTTGGTGGCCTCAGCTACCAAGTCCTTGATTAGCGGGAGGGGGTAAGCATTGGATAAAGAAACAGCATTCAGACCCCTATAATCAGTGCACAATCTGAGCCCCCCGTCTTTCTTCTTTCGGAAAAGTACAGGCGCGGCGAAAGGGGAGGAAGCCGGGCGAATGAAACCTCGGGCTAGGTTTTTATCAATAAAGTTCCGCAGTTCAACTTTCTCAGCCGGCCCCATCGCATAAATTTTACCTTTGGGCAATTTACAGTCAGGCAAAAGTTCAATAGCACAGTCAGTCGAGCGATGGGGGGGCAATTCGTTAGCTTCCTCTTCGCCAAACACTTTCGCCAAGTCTCTATACTCTCGAGGCAAAGAAGCTAACTCTTCCGGTTGCAAAGTGCCGCAGGGGAACTGCGCGGTCGGCTGGTCCCCCCACGAGTCCACCCAGCAGTGATTTACACACTTAGCCGACACAAACTTGACAACCCCTTCTTCCCACAAGATGTAAGGGTCATGGGTAAACAACCAGGGACTCCCCAGAACTAAGTCGAATTGCGATTTAGGGGTGACAATGAAGGATCTGGATTCCCAATGATCGCCCGCCCCCAGCCGCAAAGCCATAGTCTCGTGCGTACAAGGTTCCATGGGTGCCCCATCCATCTGGGTAAAAATGATGGGAGACTTCAAGGGGGCTATCCCCGCTTCCAGTGCCAACAACACTCTAGGGCTGATGAGATCCCTCCCACACCCAGAATCAATCAACGCTCTCACCCTAACGTGGGTTCCCAGGAGCGGATTCATTAATGAGACAGTCACGAAAAATAGGGAAGGGGTTTCTCTCACCACCTTGGGCGCAGCATTAGAATGGCCTTGTCGTTTTGCGCCTCTCACAACAGGCCGTTGTCGTTTTCCGCCGTTTCAGGCACCACCTCTTCTTCTGACTCGGCAGCAGACGGATCGTTCCCCTCCGAGCCTTGGGCCGCCTGCAAAGCTTTGGAGAAACGCGGTTTAGCCATTCCCTTCTTCCCCGTCAGCGGTGTCTTCGGGCTTGGAGTAGGCGGCTGTACTTTACGGCTGCCACAATCCACAGCGAAGTGCCCCTTCTCCCCGCACTTGAGACAGAGCCCCATCTTCATACGTAGTTCTCGTGCTGATTCCGACAGGCGTTGAGGCTTGGGTTTGGAGGCACCGGCAGCGGCGGGTCTGTTGGTCGTAGCAGCCAGGTCGAGTTTGATGGTGGTGAGCCGGTCTTCCGCATTTTCAGCTTCCTGGGTCCAGGCCATTAGGGAGACAGGGTTGACAGTTTTCAGAACCGTTTCTCGGATATCTGCGTTGAGACCCAAGCGATACATCTCAGCTAATATATGGTCAGGGTAGTCTCGGAGCTTTGCGGCTTGCTTGTGGAATTCCAGAGTGTACTCGCGAACCGACTTCTTGTTCTGGCGATAGGTGCGGAGAAACGCTTTAGCCCTTTGACTCGCGTTGACATCTTCAAATCTCGCCCGCAGCGCCCACATGAATGCTCGCAAATTCAAAAGTTCCGGACCGCGGTCATTGTGCAGTCCAACATACCATGTGGCGGCGTCTCCTTTCAGTCTTGCCGAGATGACATCAATAAGACCAGCTTCATTTCGGAACAGGTGTCGACTTTCTTCTACGAATTTATGCACCCTCACCGTGAAGAAAGCGAGTTCATCTGGGTTGCCGTCGAAGGTAGCCTCCAGTAGATCCTTGGGTCTGGGCCGTGGAGGCCTT